TAGGAACTTAGTCTAATCCTCAAATCACCTCAAACAACATCAAAATACGAATTACACATAGATTCAAGCCTAATGAACTTTGAAATTTTTGAATTCTACAAACGACGTCAAAACATATCAAACCACATCCGATTGACCTCAAATTTTGCACACAAGTCATAAATGACACCACAGAACTATTCCAACTTCCGAAAATCCAATCCGACCCCGATATCATAAAGTCCACTCTTGGTCAAACTTCCCAAAATTCTCATTTTCGACATTTCAAGCCTAATTCTACTACGGACCTCCAAAACACAATCAGGAAGCGCTCCTAAGGCCAAAATAACCTAACAGAGCTAACGGAACAATCAAAATTCAAATCCGAGGTCGTTGACGCATAAGTCAATATCCGGTCAACTTTTCCAACTTAAGCTTTTAAATAAGAGACTGAGTGTCTCAATTCATTCTGAAATCACTCTGGACTCAAACCAACTAACCCGGTATGATTGGGGAACAGGGCTACAACTCTCGAAACAACTGGCGAGTCATTACACATAACCTGGGGACCTTGTGGAGCACGTGGTGCCTGAGAAGTTTGTGGAGGTGCACCCCTCCTAAGCCTGGGGCAATCCCTCACCATATGGCGAGTGTCGCCACACTCAAAACAAGCTTTGGGAGGGCGTGGCTGTTGTGGTTGGCTCGGGCCAGGTCTGCTGGACTGACCGCTAAAAGCACCTCGTGCAGGAGGCACACTAGATACGGGATGTACATAATTAGGCTCCTGGGGCCTAGGAGTAACCGGAATACCACTGGCAGCTGGAAGAGTTGAATGAACAGGGCGACTCACATAGTCCCTACCATGTCAAACTGCAGCTAGGGCACGAGCACCAGAATAAGAACCAGCCTTTTGAGACCTCTTGGCCTCTCTCTCCTCTATCTCCCGAGAAAGCATGCCCTCTACTCTTCTAGCAATACTCACAACCTGCTGGTATGAAATATCCATCTCTAACTCCCGGACCATGCTAGTCCTGATGCTGTGGAGTCCCTCAATAAACCGTCAGACCCTCTCTCGAACTGTAGAAACCAAGGCCGGTACATGTCTAGCCAAATCACTTAAACGAACTACATACTCTAAGGCTCTGGGGAATGTACTCCCTAAACAAATATCCGAGAACTGACCCATGTAAGTGAAGCTGCCTCAGCCGGACTGTCCAACTCATAAGCACGCCACCACTGATAGGCTGCTCCTCTAAGCTGAAACATAATGAAAGAAACCCCGCTTGACTCTGTTATGCCCATAGTACGGAGGATACGGTGGCAATCCTCCAGAAATCACTGAGCATCCTCTGATGCTAGGCTACTGAAAGTAGGAGGGTGGTAGTTCTTGTACCTCTCTAGCCTATGTTGCTCCTCCTCAGAAACTGCTGCCCTACCCTCGGGCTGAACTGGGGCTACAGGTAGCTCCGTTATAACATCTGGGATCTGGTCGACCTGAACCCACAATTCTGGGGTGCGGCCAGCGGGAGTCTGTGCTCATCCCCCAAACTGAGATATGGAAGGAGCAAGGGGAATCAACCTTGCCTGAGCTAGAGTGACATGCTCATGAACTGTGCAAGGGCCTCCTGAAGAGTTGGTGCAGTAGTAGTAGGCATCTCAGGTGCCTGCGCTCTAACTGGAGCTAGTGGTGGCTCCTCGGTGGCAGCTCGTGTAGGTGCTCTGGCTATACCACGTGGACGTCCTCAGCCTATACCCCGGCCCCGGCCTCTGGAGGATCTAGCAGGGGGCGCGGGTGCCTGGTCATCTCCAGTCGTACGTGTCCTCACCATCTGTGAGAGAATAGAAGACAGAAGTTTAGAATTTTGAAATCAACAAATTTTCGCACGACAAGGAAATCAAAGAAGTTTAACCTTCCTAATAGTTCCATAGCCTCCCGAAGATAAGTAAAGACATCTCTGTACCGATCCGACGAGACTCTAAATAACCGGCTTGTGACTCACGACACCTATGAACCTAAAGATATGATATCAACTTGTCACGACCCAATTTTCCCTCTGTAAGACGTCGTGACAGCACCTAGTCTCTACGACTAGGTAAGCCTAACATTTGCGGAATATTGAAATGAAACATAAATTTAAAAACTAACTGTAATAGTAATAACAAAATTGACAACCATGCTGCTCGGCATGTATAATAACCAACTCCTCAATACTACACAATGTTCCCAAAACCCGGAACATCATGAGTCACAAACTACAGAAGGAAATCTAGTGTCTCTATACATCGGAAACTAACAAAGAAGTACATAAGGTAATGGACATAGGGAAAAATAAAAGGGGGACTCCGAGGTCTGCGAACGCGGCAAATATACCTTGAAGTCTCCAACTGTCGCTGCTCACTGATGACGTGGCTGGTAAGAAGTACTTAGATCTGCACACGAAAACATATGCAGAAGAGTAGCATGAGTACACCACAACGGTACCCAGTAAGTGCCAAGTCTAACCTCGGTCGAGTAATGATGAGGTCAGGTCAGAGCCCTACTGGTATGTATATATATATATAGAATAAGACAGAACGAAATATCGCAGTGTAATAAGGATTGAAATTTAACAAGGAGGAAATCATAGAAATATAACAGTATAGTATACAGGTATAACAACAGGGGATCTCCTGAGATACCGTCTCGTAGCCCCAAAAGTAAATGTGCAAGGGAATCTCCCGAGATACCGTCTCGTAGTCCAAAAGTAAATATACAGGGGGGATCTCCCAAAATACCGTCTCGTAGTCCCAAAGTAATATGCAGGGGGATCTCCCGGATTACCATTCCGAAATCCCAAAGTAAATACATAGCTTAAACAATGGAAATAATAGCTACAACACTAAATCCTACAGTTAGACTAAGTGCAAGTCAAGGAGGAGGGAATCCACTAAGCATGCTGAACAGAGTTCAGATAAACATTTAAGACACGTAGACATGTTACTCTAGGCTAAACGGGATAATTACACATGCTAGTATAACTCAATTAAAGCGAAACAGGTTATTACTTAGTGAAAAATGAAGTTTTACAACAACTAGCCCATGTACGCACTCGTCACTTCACGTACACGGCGCTCACATATCATAACAGTACCAAATCCTAAGGGGAGATTCCCCTTATACAAGGTTAGGCAAGCCACTTACCTCGAACAAGGTCAATCAATCGGTAACAATGCCTTTTCCATGAATATCCGACTTCGAATGGCCCAAATTTAGCCAAAAGCAATTACATATCATAAATACAACTATAATAGACTAATCTAATTAATGAAATCAAGAATTTAATAAGAAATTCGAAAATCGCCCTAAAAAGCCTCGCCGGGGCCACGTCTCGGAATCGGGTAAAAGTCACAAAATATGAACACCCATTCACTCACGAGTTCACTCGTACCAAAATTATCCAAATCCGATATAAAAATCCCAATCAAAACCCAAATTCTTAGTTGAAGAACTTCTACCATTTTCCCCCAAATTTCTCAACCACAATCCTTAATTAAATGATGAAATCAACCATATATTAGTGGAATATAACTATAAAGGAGTTAAGAATCGCTACTCAAAAGCTTTCTCTGAAAATCCCTCAAATAATCGCCCAATCTGAGCTCTCAAAGTCCCAAAATTGAAAATGGGATAAAACCCTCGAACTTGGCCCTTTTCTGCCCAACGATTTCATATATACGGACCTATAATCGCACCTGCGATGCCGCACCTGCAAAAATTCCATCGCAGGTGCGGACTTAACTTAACTCCCCTGGGTCTGCATCTGCGATAAGGTAGCCTTACCTGCATGTGTCCACCAGCAGATAGTGGTCCACTTCTGCGGTCTTCCTCCGCGCATGCGGTTCCTCTAGCGCATTTGCGGCCATCGCAGATGCAGAATTCACTCGCACCTGCAACCCCTGACCAACATTCCAAACCCGCTTCTGCGTCTGGCCTCTACACACGTGCGATCCCGCACATGCGGTCCCCCAATCGCAGGTGTGAAAACACCAGCAACCAGAAATCTTCAGCAATTGCATAAGTCCAAATTTCAATCTGTTGAGCATCTGAAACACACCCGAGGTCCCCCGGACCTCAACCAAATGTACCAACAAGTCCTAAAATACCATACAAACTTAGTCGAGCCCTCAAATCATAGCAAACAACGCCAAAAACTCGAATCATCCTCCAATCCAAACTTAATGAACTTGAAACTTCAAATTTCTAAAACCGATGCGGAAACCTATCAAACCACACCGATTGACCTCAAATTTTGCACGCAAGTCATGTTCAATATTACGGACCTACTCCAACTTCTGGAGTCGGAATCCGGCCCCGATATCAAAAAGTCAACTACCGGTCAAAATCACCAAAAAATCGACTTTTGCCATTTTAAGCCTAAATCAGCTACAAACCTCTAAAACACAATCCGGATATGCCCCTGAGCCCAAAATCATCCATTGGAGCTAACGAAACCGACGAAACTCTATTCCGGAGTCGTCTTCATACAGTGCTGACTACGGTCATAATCCTAAGGCTTAAGCTTCCGTTTAGGGACTAAGTTTCCCAAAACACTCCGAAACCAAAAAAACAAAACCTCCCGGCAAGTCACATAAGTAAAAACAGATACCGGAAAAGCAGAAAATAGGAGATCAGGCTATTACTCTCAAAGCGACCGGCCGGATCGTTACAATACATTAGAGGCTTGGAGCCCTGTATAAGTCTTTCTGATCTGCCAGGCTATGAGCGCAAAGCCATCTCTTAAGCTAAGTGGAAATGATACTAGGATCAAAGGGCAAGAATTGGAACCACATCTTCTCCACGTCTCACTTAAAATTTTCTAATTCAACAATGTGCCTGCAAATGGATATTATTACCCGGCACCACAAGATTCACTAAACCTGATTATTAATCGCTTGAATTCTAATCAGATTATCACGGGGAAATGACTGAAAACAAGTGCATTATTCAACTAATACTAATGTTAAGTAGCTATCAGATAAAATAAAAATTGAAACCCAACTAAGGAAAACTATATATCAGCTAAAAAATGGAATGTTTGAGTCTTTACAACAATAAGCTTTAGGGCAGCTACAAATGCAGCAGCTGATATACAACCAAAGAAGACAGTTTAACCAATGTCAACTCTTCTGTAAGCTAGACAACTTATTTTTCCTTGCAATAAGGTACATGTGGTTTGGGAGTACGAATGTGAGTGGAAATGTGCTTATTGCGCCAGTGAGGCTCATGAAGTCTCCCAGGAAAGACAGCAAAGCCGACAGGAAAGTGGTCAAGACAAGGTAACCTCCTCTAACAACCAGTCTGAATGCAATGTTACGAGGAGCCAAAGCACTTCCTTTGATTCCATATGCCGTATCCAGAAACTCATATGTCGGACTTGCAAATATCTGTAAGTAGCAGCAAAAGCAACACTAAGATCAGAAGACAAGATTAGAAGACATGGAAGCTTGGAGGGATTTACATCTCCAAGGACAAGTAATCAACTGTAACGAGAAAATGATTAGAACGACATCTCAAATCAAAGTGAAGGGCGATGATTACATGCAAAGTGATGATCGATTGTATGAAAGCAGACATGTGAGCAACGCCCTTCAACCAAACTGGACCATGAACATTGTTCAGTAAATAGGACGAAGCGCTAGATCCATAAGCCCAATAACCTATAGAAGTAACAGCATGCAAGGGCACAACTCCCACTGTGAACTGAAAGAACAGAGCTTTCAACATGTTCTCAATTACAGGTGGTCTGACTGTAGCCTGTAACAAGACGGATTCAAAGATATTGTATTAACTGCAACAGGGTGAACAAAACTAATTAAAAAGATGCCGAACAAGTGCAAGAGTAACCAACAGCTTTTCTCTCTGGCAAAACAAGTGAGTTGCCTTTCTTGGAGCAAATTCTGAAATTTTTTACTTTATTTCAAATGACTGTATCAGTCAATCAGCAAATGAGGTCTTAGAGATGGAAGTTAAAAATGGAAAGGTAATCATGTTGAATTGATTGGTCTATTGGGTCAGCTAGTTTAATCTAAGAAGTAATGTAATTAAAAGACAGAGACATCGGATAAACACCCCTACCCTGATTACATGTGGGTAGAAGTCCATCCACGCTGATAATGAGCAAACTGGGAGAATACGAGTTCAGTGTATCAACTAGATATTACCCCTGCAACCACTGGTAGAAATTTCAGGGATGTAACTGAGATGGGAAATAGAAACATAAATCAAGTAAGATGATTGGAAGGAGGTTAATTTATTACTTGCTTTAAAGTCATAACAAAGGATGGCCTGATCACATAAGTTCACGGTTTTATTTTCTGACCTGTATCTCTGGTATCATTCCCGTGTTAAATGCAAAAACGAGGTTCCCAACCGCACCAATAGTTGCAAAGATCCTGTTTACTTCTGATCCTGGAATGCTGTAGTCCCTCGGAGGAGCCTTCATACCTGTAACATGGGAAAAAATTTACCGGCTTAAGTAAAAGAAAAGAAAAAGTGCTTGGGAAAACTAAATATAACATAATAAAGCTGTTTAAATTAAAGTTGCTAGAAATCAATCCAATGGCAAGTTAATGAAAGGCAACCTACATCCTTACCATTCCAGTGAAGGCCAAAAGAACCATCTATCCAGACACTGTTATGACGCTTCCATATCTCAAGGATATGCATGTCATGAAAAATCATTCATCATCATGCACTAGTTCAGGCCCAAACAGAAGTCTAAATAGGGTGCTAATACTGCAAGAAAATTCAAGTAAACTGATAAAAGAAGCTCTAGTACATTCAACTGGCCAGGATGAAAACTCTAGATGCTTTGGGAAGAACGAGAAAATGAAAAGAGAAATACAAGGAGAAGAAGAAGTTCATATTTTCCTCCATTTGGCTCAGGAAGAAAGATATTATTCTTTTTTTTTTTTTTTTTTGATAAGAGGAAGAAAGATATTATTCTTTTAATAGTTTAATTGCTTCCCATAATTCTAAACACTACAAATTTCCAATTCCGCATGGTTCTCGAGATGCTCATCAAGGAAACTATCAATGTGCTTGTATGAAATACCAGGCAAACAAATAGGATGCATTCTCCAGCGAAATCTTCCCCTCATATAATGATACCGTGGAAGTGAATATGATGTCTTTACTACCATATGACAGCTTTCTGAAGATTAAGACAACTAAGAATGTTGTTGACTAAGGAGAAATGTGACAAAGAAAACAAGGGACGAATTCTTTTAGTGTATAATTATTACTTCCCGAGTTAAGTGCTTATAATGAACTCTTCTAATATTTTGAGAAAGCATATTTCGTTTGAAGAGATTTTTGGATTTTCAAATCACTTTACAAGAAATCTCGAGCAGAAACAAAATCACCAGAAAGGCAGGAACAAGCTACACTGGTAAACCTAGATGTCTTTCCATGTATATTTCACATACTGGTGACATTTGATATCGGGACACAACATTGCACTGAACTTTCAAACAAACCATGGATACTTACTTTCATAAACTTCTGAACGAAGAAGGGGATCGGGATATTGTGCTAGGCGAATTGGAACAATCCGAGAGTCACCGTGACTTTGGGTACTACGGGTGTATCAAGGTTGAGGAGGTCGTAGGAGCTATACGTAAGATGAGCAGGGGTAGAGCGACCGGGCCAGACGAGATTCCGGTGGAATTTTGGAAGGGTGTGGGGAGAGCAGGTTTGGAGTGATTGACTGGGTTGTTTAATGTTATTTATAAGGCAAAGAGGATGCCGAAGGAGTGGAGGTGGAGTACGGTAGTTCCATTGTATAAGAACAAAGGTGATATCCAGAGTTGTAACAACTATAGGGGTATTAAATTACTAAGTCATACCATGAAAGTGTGGGAGAGGGTGGTTGAAGCGAGGGTGAGGATGACAGTGTCTATATCCGAAAACCAGTTCGGATTCATGCCGAGTCGTTCTACTACAGAAGCTATACACCTTGTCCGGAGGTTGGTGGAATTGTATAGACAGAGGAAGAAGGATCTGCACATGGTGTTTATTGACCTACAGAAAGCGTATGACAAGGTTCCTAGAGAAGTTCTCTGGAGATACTTGGAGGCAAAAGGTGTGCCTGTCCTGTACATTATAGCGATTAAGGACATGTACGATGGGGCTAAGACTCAGGTGAGGACAGTAGGAGGAGACTCTGACCATTTTCCGGTCGTAATGGGGTTACACCAAAGTTCTGCACTCAGTCCGTTCTTATTCGCCTTAGTGATGGACACGTTGACGCACCATATTCAAGGGGAGGTGCTATGGTGTATGCTATTCGCTGATGACATAGTTTTGATTGATGAGTCGCGAGCCGGACTTAACGAGAGGCTGGAGGTTTGGAGACAGGCTCTTGAGTCTAAGGGTTTCAAGCTGAGCAGGACGAAGACGGAATACCTGGAGTGTAAGTTCAGTGCTGAGCCGGGGGAAGTGGGCGTGGATGTGAGGCTTGAATCGCAGGTCATCCCAAGTAGAGGCAGCTTCAAGTACCTTGGGTCGGTTATCCAGGGGGGAGGGGAG